CTCACTCACTCACTTTAAAGGTAATAAGTAATACCCTCTGATAACACAATCAGAAGCTGAAAAGACTTGTTCAAATGTGTAAATTTATAATTTTCATATTTTGACTTCAAGGTCAGCAATTATAGAGGACAGTCCACTCTATTTCTAATGCACCTTGTTCTTACGTGACACCCTTAATCGTCATCGATCATTGAAACATTTCACTGACTTTCCAAAGGGACGATGCGAGAGGAGCACACACTGTATATATTATAGTTTAAAAAAATAAAAAACAAGCCATAAGGCAAACACGTGAAAAGTAAAATAAATAAATAAAAATACAATCGAACCTAAATAAATAATTTTAATGAATAAATATAAAATATATTTTAGCTGTATGAAACAAACCAATTCATAAAAAGGCAAACATGTGAAAAGTAAAAAAAAAAACCTAAATAAATACATTATGATATAATCAATCAGAAGCTGAAAAGACTTGTTCAAATGTGTAAATTTATAATTTTCATATTTTGACTTCAAGGTCAGCAATTATAGAGGACAGTCCACTCTATTTCTAATGCACCTTGTTCTTACGTGACACCCTTAATCGTCATCGATCATTGAAACATTTCACTGACTTTACAAAGGGACGATGCGAGAGGAGCACACACTGTCTGACGCACATTTCTTGGAGGTGTTCCCCCATTTTGATGAATTTCTGGCCTAGGCACCCAGCATCCCTGCTGTATGTGTGGCTGCATCTCCTCCTTCCTCCTGTCAACATGATCCTGCGCACAATCAGTCGTAGCGTGCAGACTCGCCGGGTACCTTTCCGCTCCTCGCCACGTCCTCTGGCCTCACCTGCTCCGTCTGTTTTATCCGTGAGCAACAGAACATGTACAATTACATCTCACGACTTCTAAATGATCTTTAATTCTTTTCACTGCTATATTGTTGCAGGAGAAAATGGATCAATCTCGCTTTCTTTCACTCTTTCAGTCGGTGAGAGTTAGTTAAAGTAGTAAAAAAAATACTTTGTTGACTTGCCAGGCTTTTTATGAGCAAAAACAAGGTATATTGAACAAAACAACCACATGCATTTTACTTTTGCTTATGTTCTCGTAGTTTGTCAACATGAAAAGACCTTTCATTGTAGATATCTAGAATATTATGTTGATACAAAGTTAGTTACAATCACAGATTCTGCCCTGTAATTAATAAAAATACATTTTCAGGCCCTGCAAGTGAGTGCAGCCAATGATAAATATTGGCAGACAAGAAAAATGTGTCATTTTTGTCGATTGAAGGGAACATAATGATATTCACAAGGAGACCCCCACTGAGACACAGACACAACTGTTCCTAAGCAACAAAACACTCCCCCCCTCCAAATGCAGACAGGGTTTTGGATTGCCTGTTTTACAGCCAGAGATACTCCGGTCTCTAATGTAGTGACATAAGTGAACACAACTGTACAGACTGCTGTACTTACATTTGACGCATTTAGCTCCTGATACTAATAATAGGTATGCTTTATTGAGCTAAAGGTGCAAATATAGTTGAAAACATAAATACGAAAAAATAAATTGTGTGTGTGTGTGCACGCATAGGTAGGTAAATGCATTGTTCTATTTGATTTGCATTGTATTTATTCCTTAGAATTATCATTAAAAGTAATTAAAGACTGAAATAAACAAAATCTCTCAAAAACAGAACAACAGAAGTTATACTTGATGCTGAATTTATTTGTTTTTTTTAATTATATCAATAGGCATGCTTTATTGATCCAAAAGGTGCAAATATAGTTCAATGCAGTGGGGGAAAAAAGTTCTTATTGATATTTATAAAGGTTTGCAGTAGTAGTATAATCTCAGGCCTAACTGTTTAACATACATAAATGTTTCCACAGTGACAGTATGTGGTCAAATGGGATGTTTCAATCTTAGTGGTCTTGGAGGGAAATCAAAAGGAAAAGAAATATGTTGTATTGCATGGGTAGGAGTGCCATCTAGTGGTACATACCTATATAGTAACCTGCTAAAGTCTTGAAAGAAAGAATTGTAGCTTACCAAAAGTTTGTTTAGTGAGATTTTAAAAATAATTTTAATTAATAAAATAGTACTTGTATTCTTAACCATTAATACTTTTGGCAGGGATACTTTTAGCAAAGATGCATTAAATTAATCAAAAGTGACAGTAAAGATTTTGTTACAAAAAAAAAAAATAAATAAAAATAAAATAAATGCAGTTCTTTTAATTTTTCTGTCAAAAAATCTTGACCCTGAACTTATATAACAGTATATATTAAAGTATATATTTTTATTGATTTTTAAGTAGACATTTTAGGTAACTAAGTCAATGTACAATAAAATATTCTTCTAAAAATACAAATAAAACAAAATAAAAATTTTGGCCTCAAAACATGCCCTAAAAATATCTTATGTTATATACAGCATATATACATAGGATTTATTTCCTAATGCAATAT